AGTGGAAATGGGATCAAATAACTATGGACTTCGTAAATGGTTTACCTTGTTCACCAAGAAAGTATGATGTTGTGTGGGTAATTGTAGATCACTTCACTAAAATAGCTCATTTCATACCTATTTGAATGAGCTATAGTTTGGATACTCTAGTCGAATTGTACATTCATGAAGTAATTCGGTTACATGGGGTCCCTACTTCTATTATTTCCGATCGAGATCCTCGATTCACAACTCAATTTTGGAAATCCTTGCAGCAAGCCCTTGGAACTAAAGTGAAATTGAGTACGCCCTTTCATCCTCAAAGTGATGGCCAATCCGAGAGAGTAATACAAGTACTCGAAGACATGCTTAGAGATTGTGTTATCGACTTTGGAAAGAACTGGGAGAAATCCATACCCCTTGTAGAATCTGCCTATAATAATAGTTATCAAGCTTCAATTCAAATGGCTCTTTTCGAGGCTCTATATGGAAGAAAATTTAGAACACCTCTATGTTGGTCCGAAGTGGGTGAAAACAAAGTTTTTGGACATTAATTGCTCAGGAAACTGAAGAACAAGTTCAAATTATTCATGATCGATTGAAGCAAGCCTTTGATAGGCAAAAGTTCTATGCATATTTGAAACGAAGAGACATCCAATAGAATGTAGGAGATAAGGTTTTTTCTCAAAGTATCTCCCCGGAAGAAAGTCTTCAGGTTTGGCAAAAGGGGGAAGCTTAGCCCCCGATTCATCGAACCATTTGATGTTGCTGAAAAAATTGGTCTCGTGGCTTATAGACTATCGCTCCTGGTGAATTTGACAAGATTCATAATGTTTTCCATGTCTCGATGCTCCAGAAGTACGAATCAAATCCAAACCACATCCTTAAACCTAAAGAAGTCTAATTAAACCCATACCTATCCTATGAATAATAACCAATTTAAATCCTCGAAAGAGAAATCAAACGACTTGGAAACAAGAACGTTCCTTTGGTGAAAGTCTTGTGGAGAAACCATAAGATGGAATAAGCGACATGGGAACCCGGGGATATAATGAGAAAGCAATAACCTCATTTGTTTAATCCTGGTAAGAAATCGAGGATGAATTTTCTTTTAACGGGGGAGAGTTATAACACCCTTAAATCCTAGCCTAGAATAATTAAACTATATTGCCTAGAATGAAAACCAAATCTAATTAAATTTAAATTAGTGGAATTAAATAAAGATCTAATTGAATTGAATTTTTAAATTAATTGAATTATATTGGATCAAATTGAATTGCCTATGTAAAAACCAAGTTGAATTGAAAATTAAATTAAATGTATTGAAAAAAGACCTAATTGAATTGTTTATGATAACTATTAAGTTGAATTAAAACTTGGATTAATTGAATTAAATAAGAACCTAGTTAAAAAATAGTAAAAGAGTAGTAACCGAAATTATAGTGATCAAGATAAAATAAATACAAATATTATTATTGCATGCTAAATTCTTAAATTCCTATAATTACCCTTGAATAGTTGGTTACTTAAGCTCTAAGGGAGGCTAGTTTAGACAATTCCACCTCCATTAAGGATGAAATAATATCACCCTTCCCCATTTCATTTGGTGACAGGCCTAAGAAAGAAAAATTAGAGAGAATTGAAAAAATAATGGAGAGAATGCAGAGGGGAGTATTCGGCCATGCATGTTGAATTTCAAGCTTAATTTGATTAGGGAATTCATCTAGTTTACAAGTAAGCCTTCGACCTATATTTCCATTAAAAATTTTAGAGTTTAATTTAGTTGGTTCTTAAGAAAATTTTAATTTTAATCATGGAAATAATTCCAATTGATGGTGCATGAAATTAAAGATTTTTTATGGTCATGTTGAATCAAATTCAAGAGAGTAAGAACTTGCTAAATTGGACAACCATGGGTAATCATTTTGAAGTTAAAACCGAGTGGATTATTCATGCATGTTACCAAATCAAGAAAGTTGAAAGGTTGTGTACCGAATTGGAAAAATGGGTGTAGGACCATGTTGCAAAAATTTAAAAATATAGGGGTTTTGAAGCATTAAACAATAGACAATGTTGTGAAATTATGGACATTTAACCTTAGAAGTGAAATTAATCACTATGGTTGTAAGAATTCAATTAGGGATTGTTTTGAACAATTTGGTAAATTTGGGGTCTAATTGGATAGATTAAATACTGGTAAAAATAATTAAGAACATGAAAAGGACAAAATTGAATAAATAATAAAGTTTTGAGGATCAATTTGAGAGAATTTGAAAGTTTGTAGGTGATATATGGGTAAAATAGTTGAATTGGACAGTTTTGGGAAAACTGTTAATTGAAGGACTTAATTGAAGTATTAAAGGTTAAGGTTGATATAAATATTAATGCAAAGGATAAATTGAATAATAGTAAAAAGATATAAGCTAAACTGGTAAGTATTTTAGGTGAATTAGTTCACCAAAAGTACATTGAATTACAAGAGTGACAGATTGGTCACTGGAAAATTGTCTAACTTCAAATGTAAAACTATAATTATATATATGAAATTAAAATACAAGCCATACATTCTTGGAAATATAGTTGAATTATCTTTCTAAGGGTATAAATAAATTGAAAATCTGATGAGTAAATTAAAAGTTATGATCATATTACTACAAGGTGTACAATCGGCCAGAACAGAATTTGTTTAGTGCCAAATAGCTTAATTGAGCTTGAATTTCTATTTTATTGATTCTAATAACTTCCCTATGTTGTGTATAAATTGCTAGAGAAAGGAATTGAGGAAGTGGCTGAAGGAACTAAGAAAGGATCCACCAAAGATAGGCAGAAAATAATAGTAATTCAAGGCTAACTTGGAGTATTGTGAGTGTAACTATGTTAGGGTTAGGAATTAGGTCCCAACCACCCTTTATTTTTTTTTATTGCTATGTTTAATTGCTCATGAAATCAATATGCTAATAATGAAATTAAGCCATGTTGGAACTTAAATTAAAGGGAAAGAAAGATCAATTAAAGACTATAAGCTATTGAGTGTCATATGAAATTAATTGGTAAATTAGTTATTACTTGTTGCATTGGTTAAATTGAATTGGATTGTGAATTAATACATGTTACCATTATCTAATTGAATTGGTTTGTGAATAAATACATGTTTTCATGACCGAATTGAATTGAATTATGGAATATTGCATAATGCTATGATTGAATTGAATCAAGATGTGAGTTAGTGCCTGCTACCATGTTGGAATTCAATTTAATTGAAATATTGGATGAACAAATTGACAATTTGTTGCCATGATCAATTTGGAATTGAATGTATAATCTTGACATGAACAATTTTTTATGTCCATGTTATGGAAATTTGAATTCTTGGGAAATAAAATTCAATGTCCTTGGTTAATAGTTAGTCCAAGATATAAGGGCATGCCTTAGAGTCCAGAGCTCAATTATGTATGGGGGATTACGGTCCAACACTACGGTGCTTATTGGCGATAGACGGAGGGTGCGTTATTTGGTCTTTGGCGACGGTAGGAGGGTTGACCAACACTACGGTGCAATTAAATTGTATGGCGACAGTTGGTTGGAGACTTGCTTATCTAGATTGAACTAGAAACCAAGGCTTAAATTAATTGACAATATTAAATCAAAAGAGTGTATGTATATGCATGAATTGTTCAAATCAAATTTCTATATAAATTGAATTGCTTAATTCGAAATGCTATGTAGATTTTGTGTTGCATATATGGTAATTTATGCCTTGATCGAATGGAAGAAGAATTGAAATGTTTAATTGGTTGATTCAGTTGATTGCTAATTTAAATGTATATGATTGTGTACTCTCTCCATGTTCGAGATTGAAGCTAGATCATGTAGATTGTTTAAATTGAATGCTATCCTATTAGAGTATATAGTAGTTACATGAAATCAAAATATTAGTTGATTGTGAAAGTCATTAAATGGTAAAGAATCAATGAAATTAAATGTTACCTCACTAAGTACTTTAAGTACTTATCACTCTTTTTCCTTTGTTTCCCAAACCACAGGTTCCTAGAGTATTCAAAGCACAACCTCCCTAGCTGAACAACCAGTGGAAAGATTACAAGTATGACTTGTTTTGTTATCTTTTACTCATAGTTGGTGGCTTATCTTTGAGTATAGTGGTTTAAATCTCTTGCATTTGGTGGGTAGTTAAGTTGTTTATGAAATGTGCCTAAGAGCATAATGAAGTGTTATAGACTATGGAGTTAATGGACCTGTAATGTATATAATGTCATTAGCTATTTTGGTTGTATATAGCCTACAAGCATGATCTTTTGTGTAAGTCATGTAGGGTCCCTTTTTGTATTGTATATATATATGGGTTATGTATAAATATCATATTATGTTATGTTCACTAAACTCTTATAGAGTGTATGTGGTTTAAATGCTAGTATTCAGTTTAATGTATTAAGAATGCAAATTAAATGAAATTACATGTGATAAATTGGGATTCATTTCTTAATCGAATTAATTGATAAGCAAATTGATTGAGATTTGATTAATGTGTAATTATATGCGTAGAAGGGTTGATTAATCTTGTATTTTAAAAAAAATGGCTCTTCAATCGTAATGTTCGTTGTGTATGTTTGATTCAACGTTTAATGATATTTTACTTGCTTATTGATCTCGGTAATGCTCCCAATCCTTGATTCAGGTTTGGGGGTGTTACACTTCGTCAATACATGAATTAATGAGCTCTGCATTCTCTGAAACAACATATTAGACAAATCTTGTTGAGGACATTACAGAGACTGATAGGCTGAAAATTGACCATTTTTGTCGGATTAGATATCTTCAGTAACAATATAATGTGAGTCTTATTTATAGTGTTCATATCAAAACGTCCCTCTAAGAGACTAATGCAAAAACAAGCAACTTCACTACCTATCAAATGTCAAAATCGTTTATAAAACAATGCACCAAGTTCATCTTCACCTGCCGCCTTTAGTGGGTTCATCAATTTTACTGCTTGCGAAACTTCTTTAATTGTAAAAAGGTCGAAGCAGCTCAGTATTCATGTTAGCTGTAATGCTAGTGGCTATGTCATTCATAATTCTATCATCCACCTGCCTCACATTGGATGTAAATAAAGTCAAGAAATAATCTCTAGCAACATCTCTTATTCCCACCTCGATATTAACAATTAAACCATCATCTGTTTTGAGGGTTGTTATTTTATTCTTATGTCGTCTATTGGAGGTAAAATGATGAAAAAAAGCAGTGTTGTTATCACCAAACCTTAGCCAATTCACCTTGGCACGTTGTTCCCAATACAATTCAGATTTGTCTAACTCGAGATTAAGTTGCAACTTTGTGTCTATTATTTCACCCAACACCTCCTCTATTGGTTGTAATTCAACCAGAGCCTCCAATTTCTTCTTAAGGACACTAGCAGTGAAACTCCTCTTTTTACATATCCCTTTGAACCACTCATCAAGACCATGACTCACGAAATTGAGCCTCTCCGACAAACAATCAGTATACTCATTCCATAACCGTTGTTCTTCATCCTCACAAGAGTTTTCCAACAACCAAGAAGCCTCGAACCTGAAATGCCACCTACGAATCATACCACCATGAATAACCATTTCTAGTAAAAAAGGACAGTGATCTGATAAAGAATGGTTAAGGTGTCTTAATTCATAGCATGGGAAAAGAGTCTTCCACGCACTATTCGCCAAACCTCAATCCAAACGTTCTCTAATACTATTTTCTATCGAGCAGCCTCTCTCCCAAGTAAATTAGGTGTCCATGTACCCAATATCCATCATATTACAGCAATCTAAGGTCTCCCAAAAATAAGCTATTTGTCTTTCATTACGAACGAGCCACCTTCCTTTTTAAATGTGAACAAAATTTCATTAAAGTCCCCAACGATTAACCATTGGGTATTTTGGTTATCATCAATATTCGTAGAAGATCTCATGACTCTCGACGACAATTCTCCTCTCGTGCCCCGTAAAACCCAGTACACCGCCACTGGAATCCGTAGAGCCTTGTGAATCCACCTCTATTTCATTTACAAAACCTCATGACTTTCATACCTTCTCTATCCGTGAACCTTGTAACTTTGTTTCCATAAAGAAATCAACCTAATGATTAATGTCTCGTAGCTCTTTCCGGAGAATTTGAACAGTCCGGGTCATCCCCAACCCCCGGATGTTCAAACTCAACAGTTTCATTATGCCCAACTGGCCTGATCATTCAGGTCTACTGATATAACTTCATCTCCAGCATTTAATTCCCCAATACCAGACGAGGCTGCTGGACCGCTCCTTTATCGCTTTACATTGTCTGCCCTGTAAATGGGATTCTCCTCATCCACCGTAACCATTATAACATCCCTCAATCTATTATCCTCTCCTACCATATTACCTGTCAGGAAAGATCGAGACACTCGAGCTTTTTTTTGCTCTTTGGCACCCAAGCCTTGATATAAAATCTGATTAAGATTAGCCACCCTAGACGCCTCGACTTCTCCATTCCCCTGTTCCTCATGTAATAATGGGCTCATGGTAATCCCCCTCCTTAGTGGGGCAGCACGAATTGAATCATCCCACAACAACTTCTGATCCTTCTTATCTTGCAGAATTCGAAATGGGTAATATTTTTCACCATGCCCTAATTTGCCACACTTAAAACAAAATAATCTCATTTTTTCATAGCGAAATTGAGCATAAGTGAAAGACTTGTCTGGCAACGCAATATTTTTCCTTCTCTTTAAAGGTTTCCGAGTACCATTCTCACCCGAATGCTCTGTAACATCCCAAATCAGGATAAGTGACTAAATTGCAAATTTTAAAAATTTTGGGCTCGATTTCGAAACAAGTTAAAAGTTCAAGGACTTAATTAAGAATTTTATTCCAGAGGATTAATTGGTAAATATGAAAAGAATGGAAGGTCAAAATGGTTATTTGATAGCAAGATTTTTTTAAAGGGATTATATTGTCTCCATGTGGGATGAGTAGAAAAGAAAAGAGAATGATTCCAAAGTTTTCTTCTTCTTCTTCATTTTTGCGTGAAGCCAAAATAAAAGGTGAGTTTCTTGTTGGTTAATTATTTGCTAAATTTAAAGTTGGGTTATGATCCTTAGTTGATGCATAAGCTTAAGGAAAACATAGGTTACGGTAAAATCAAAGATTGAAGGAGTTAAGAGAGATTAGAGATTTGGAGTTTTTAAATGAAATTTTGGAAAAGAATTGATAAGAAGAATTTGAAGTTAAATTTGTCTTGTCAATGGTTGAATTAAGGGATATGAAGCGATAGAATAGGATTTAGAACATGTTGAAAATTGAGTATGATTCTTGAATTCTATGTAGATGATTGGATTTTGAAGTTAAAGATGTATTGAATGAGTAGTAATGAGTTTAAGCATGTATATGTAAGTTAAGAATAAGAAAGGGGATGATATATTAAGCAATTGAGCTAAAATGAAGTAATTTTTGGAATGAAAATGTGATTTCTGGGCAAGGGGTATCGGTACCCATTCAACATGTACCGATACCTCAAGAGTAAATTTCAAAAAGATATTCAAAGGGTACCGATACCTTAAGGATGGTATCGATACCCCTTGAAACAAAAAATTACATAATACAATATGGGTATCGATACCTAGGTATGGTACCGATACCTCAGTTAAGGGATGTATCGATACCCTATAGGGGGTACCGATATCTACTTTAAATATAAAAGGATTTTTCTCATTTCTTTTAGTTTAAGAAATGAAGGATTAAAGTATGCTATTTAGAATACTGATATGTATAAATGTATGATTATGTAGACATCGAGCGTAAGCAAGTTCCGGAATTACTGAAAGGTTAGAATTGATCAAGAAGAGCAAGTAAGCCATAGGAGTAATTGATAGCAAGTGAGGCACATGTGAGTGCATACTAGTTGTAAATGATTTGTATGGAAATAAGACTCGCGATGAGTCTAATTCCAATATTTGATTACATAAATATGTGAATGTTAGTATATGTGGTTGATATAACTATTATGTATGCATGAATACATGGATAGATTCATAAAGCTTATATGTTATTTGGCGTGATAAGGATATATAAATAGTTATATGATAACAAGGTATAAATTATATGAATTAAGTCTAAGTGATTAAGTGAAAAATAATAATAGAATATAAGTTAAGAGATATTGACATAAATTAGTATACAAATGTGTCAAATAAGCTATATAGGAAAGTTGATATGTTTAAGTAGATTATGAGACTTTACTAGTATATTATATGATATACTGGATAAGAAACTAGGAGTTTATATGTTATATGATTTGAACATAAGTGGTTATGTGAAATGAACTATGTGACTAGGTGTGAAATAGAGTAAAACATATAATTATATGAACATCAAAGATAAGTTATGGGATATGATATATGTGACAAGTAATATGAAATGACTTGGGAAGTTGATATAAGCTATGTGAAAGTGATCTATGTGTGTGTACATGTGATATATGATTTAGGTGACAATAAGTTATATGAAAATAAATGCAATGATTACATTATCACAAGAGATAAGTTAAGTAACATTGATATCTATATGATAATAAAATAAGAATCAAATATAATCTAGGAAAAATGACATAAATTTTATACTAACATTTAGTATTAGTTATATGGTAAATATATATATAGGAACCAGATGTGAACACATGTTAGGTAACAAAATATGGGAAGTTGAATTAAGTGAATATATGAAACTAGTATAAACTTTATATGATATAGATGATTATGAAAATCGGTAAGATAAGTGATATTGTATTGATATACGGGTTATATTAAAATATGTATAAGAGTAACTGCTTAAAAGATATTATCTGAAAGATGATTATAAGAGAATAAAGAATAAGTCATATGATATAAGTTATGTGATTACATGTATGTATTAATACATCTTGCTAGCATCATATGTTATGTGATATGAAATGTTGTGATATATGCTATGAGATATGACTCATATGACTACATGGGAGATATATGGTAATGAAATGTGAAATTCCATGAGAATCTTATATGACATATGTGATAAGAAGTCATGAACTTATATGACTTTGTGATATGAATGTGAAAAGTGATATGTGAAATGTCATAAATGATATTGCCTATGATACTTGATAAGAGAGCTAGTGGTATAGTTGGCATACCAAGAGTCGAGGGTTACCTATGTCTTTCGAGACATATAGATAGTTTACCTATGTCCTTAGGGACATATGGACAGTTACCTATGTTCTTCAGAACATATGGATAGTGGTCCTTCGGGACAAATGCATAGGTCCTTCGGGACATATTTCATATGCCACTCAGTGGGACTTATACGAGCTGTGGTGACAGCATATGTGCACAACCTCAATGTACTCGCATATCTTTAGTTTTCACATGTGTACATGGGCTAATAAAGGGATAACTTTGAATACAATGTATGTAATATGTATATGATGTGTGATAGAAAATTGTATGACATGATATATGTGTGTTATGGGTTAGTACATATGTTATATGATATACATGAATATATGTTAATGTATGTATGAATGAATGAATATAAATGACTTGTATGATGATATAAGAATTTGTTATAAGATATAGAATATGAACGTAAGAGATCATATGAACAAGAGATAAGAGATATGAAGGATAATACTATAGGAGTATGATAAAAACATAAATGATGACATATATGTGTGTATGTATGTAATTGTTATATGGAAAAAAATATATGATATGATAGTATAAAATATTCATGCATGGTTAGTGGATATAAATTACATTAGATGTGTTTTTATGCCTCACTAAGTCATAGACTTAGCGTGTGATTATTTCACACGGAGGTTCCGGAAATCGAGAAGATGAATGAAGAAGAGCAAGGTCAGATTCTCCTTTCCACGGATTAGATCAGAAAATAAATTATTAGTTTGTATTTTTTTAATATATATAGTTGGCATGTAATTAAGAGATTTGAACAGTTTACGCTCTGATATGTTTTGTAAATTAATTATTTTAATAAATTAGAAATTCTTCATTCTTTTGTAAAAGTAATTGTTTGAAAAGTCAATGTGACACTTCGGACTCGGATCCGGGTCGAATACGGGTTGGAGGTGTTGCATGCTCTCTTTATAACCCAACGCAATAGCCGAAGAATCATACTCAACAAATTTACCAATAAAATTCCCAAATTGTTGTGCAACTTATTCAGGAAAATACCCAACCTGTAGGTCATTGATTATAATCCAAAACCCAACCAATTTAGCTCACCATTATCGGATCTTCCCCCTGTTTCATCTTGTGCATGACTAAGAGATGAGAATTAAAGTACCACAGACCTTCCACTTTTATTCGATTCATGTAATCCTCATGGAATAACCGAAATAAAAATCTACTAGCACCCAATTAAGTTATAGAAATCCCCCCAATTGGTTAACAGACATTCATTAAAGTCACTTTTATTGCCTGAAAATTCACCATGCTCGCCGATAAGAAACATCCCACAAAACAATAATCAAAAGAAATAAAAGTGGGAGATTACGATAAAACCAGGACCAGACTAACCTCCTCCTCTTCACCCAGACTCAATTC